GAGCAGACCCGAGAGTACGTACACATCCTTGATTCTCGCAAGGTTGTGAAAGAAGATGAAGGCGGATGCCTAGAGATCGATCAGGAAATCGACGAGATCACTCGATCCAGGGTAACGATCGACAAGAGAATCGAGAAGGTTGATCGATCCAGAAAAGAAATCGATGAGAAGATCGAGGGAGGCAACTCGATCAGTTCAGAGAACGACTCAGTGAATCGATCTTCTGCTCGATCCATATCAAATCGAGAAAGAGATTGATGTGAGTGCAATCGATCCGGACCAGAACGAGAGGAAGATTGACTGGATGACTCGATCTCTGAGGAAAGAACGGTTCAAGATAGCAGACTTCTACAGGAGGTTTATAAGGGATTTCTCCAAGATAGCACGCCCTCTCACAAGACTGTTATGCAAGGAAGCCGAGTTCGTGTTTGATGATGAGTGTCTTCACGCTTTCAAGACGATCAAGGAAGCTCTTGTTACAGCACCTATAGTGCAAGCACCAGACTGGAGCTTACCCTTCGAGATCATGTGCGACGCGAGTGACTACGCTGTATGAGCTGTGTTGGGTCAGAGAAAGGATAAGAGGCTGCACGTTAACTACTATGCCAGCCGTACCTTGGATGACACGCAAGTGAGATATGCTACCACCGAGAAGGAGCTACTAGCTGTGGTATTCGCCTTTGAGAAGTTCAGATCATATTTGGTGGACTCCAAGGTCGTTGTGTACACTGATCACGCTGCCATGAGGTATATCTACTCCAAAAAAGACACCAAGCCGAGACTCCTAAGGTGGATCCTTCTTCTACAAGAGTTTGGTATGGAGATCAAGGATAAGAAGGGCATAGAGAATGGTGTTGCTGATCATCTCTCAAGGATGAGAGTGAATGAAGTCTTACCTTTGGATGATTTACTTCCCGAGGAGCAGCTCATGATGGTCAACACTGTTGTATGTGCACGGCTAGAGGATCAGTTTGAAGAAGTTTTGAGCTTCAAGGAAGAAGACCTACCTTGCTATGCAGATATAGTAAACTTCTTAGCTTGTGGTGAGGAGCCTACTCACCTAGACCACTACCACAAGAAGAAGTTCATGAGAGACATCTCTCATTACTTTTAGGACGAGCCTTACCTGTACAAGAGAGGAGTAGATAGCTTATACAGAAGATATGTCTCAAGAGAGGAAGCAAGGGACATTCTCCTACATTGCCACGGTTTGTCATATGGTGGACACTTCGCCTCTTTCAAGACAGCTACAAAGGTTCTACAAGCCGGGTTTTGGTGGCCAACACTTTTCAAAGACGCTCACGAGTTTGTAAAGGTGTGTGAGGCTTGCCAGAGAGCTGGAAACATCATCAAGAGAAGTGAGATGCCTCAAGTGCCAATCTTTGAGGTTGATGTGTTTGATGCCTGGGGAATAGACTTCATGGGACTGTTTCCATCTTCATACGGCAACAAATACATCTTGGTGGCTGTAGATTACGTTTCTAAGTGGGTTGAGGCTATAGCTTCCCCACATAATGATTCAAAGGTGGTTGTCAAACTCTTCAAGACCATCATCTTTCCAAGATTCGGGGTTCCCAAGGTAGTAATCAGTGATGGGGGCAGCCACTTCATCAACAAAGTGTTTAAGGGTCTCTTGAAGAAGTATGGAGTGAAGCACAAGGTAGCTATACCTTATCACCCTCAAACTAGTGGGCAAGTGGAGGTCTCAAATAGACAGGTCAAGGCTATTTCAGAGAGGACCGTAGGAGCAACACGGAAGGATTGGGCAAGTAAGCTGGACGATGCCCTTTGGGCGTATAGAACCGCCTTCAAGACTCCTGTAGGCACCACTCCCTTCAATCTCCTCTACGGAAAGACTTGTCACCTCCCTGTGGAGCTGGAACATAGAGCACTCTGGGCAGTGAAGCAAATAAACTTCAGTCTCAAGACGGCATAGGAGAAGAGGTTGATTCAACTCCACGAGCTTGATGAGCTAAAGCTAGACGCTTATGAGAGTGCCAAAATCTACAAGGAAAGGACCAAGGCGGTTCATGACAAGAAGCTGGTACTCAAGGAGCTTAAGGAGGGAGATCTGGTCTTGCTTTACAACTCACGCTTGAAGTCATTCCCAGGAAAGCTAAAGTCAAGGTGGTGTGGACCTTTTGAGATCAAAGAAGTTCTACCTTATGGAGCGGTTACTTTGGTTGGTAAGAGTGGAAAGGCTTTCACGGTTAATGGGCACAGAGTCAAGCCCTACTTGGCGAGTGATTGCAGCAAGGAGAGCACCACGATGCTTCTCCAAGATCCACCTCTAGCCTGAACCAAGTAAAGTCAAGCTTAGGACGTTAAACAAGCGCACTTGGGAGCCATTCCCATGTCTATCTTGTACATATTTTTGGTTTCTTTCTATTTCAGTTTTATGCTTTTTTATGTTTAAGCGTGTAGGTGAAAGGATAAAGGATTGGAGATCATGATGTTGGAGTCAAAATGGCAAGGAAAGGAGAAGTAGAGGCAAGGGATCGAGCGGATCGACCTACCCTGGCTCGATCTTTGCCAGAACGAGCTAGTGAATCGAGTGGAGACACTCGATCTAGATTAGATCGAGTAGACAATCGAGTGAATCAGTCGATAATGAGAAGATGACCCATTAATGCGTATAAAACGAGGTATGGATCAACTGACCTCACTCGATCCTCGAGCTGGATCGATCAGTTTACTCGATCTGCCACTCGATCTTTGCCAAAACGACAATAAGGTCCACAAGGTCTTCAAGGGATTCAAGGCTTGTAAGGTGAACAAGGTCAGGTTGGTTTACAAGGAGCTTGGGGCATGAGAGTTCAAAGACCATTAAGGCCTATAGGTGCTGCTGATATACCCTCAAGTTATGCTTCAAGACAAGGTATTCTTCCACCTATGGAGACTCATCACTATGAGATCAAGAGCAGCCTATTACTATGGTTCAAGAAAAGAAGTTATTTGGCTTGCCTAACCAAGACCCTCTTGAGCACTTGGATCACTTTGAGAGGATTTGTGCTTTGACAAAGCTTAGTGGAGTTTCAGATGATAGGTTGAAGCTCAGATTGTTCACATTCTCTCTTGGTGATAGAGCTCAAATGTGGAAAAAATATCCAGCACAAGGCAGCATCACTTCTTGGGAACAATGCAAAGGTGCTTTCTTAACCAAGTTCTTCTCTCCCACAAGAACTGCAAGATTCAGAAATGAGATCACAAACTTCAAACAGTGGTCTAATGAGAGTTTTGGAGACACTTGGAAAAGGTTTAGAGGCTTCACTCATCAATGCCCTCATCATGGCTTCACCAAAGAAAAGTTTCTGTCCACACTCTATAGAGATGTTCTCCCAAATATAAGAATACTTCTAGATACAGCAAGCAATGACTATTTCCTTGGCAAAGATGTTGATGAAGGTTGGATATTGGTGGAGAACATGGCACTAAGCAATTGGGATTATGTGGATGAGTTTGAGCCGTATGCAAAGACAGCTGAAGATTGGTTGGAAACAACAAGACATGTGATAAAAAGCTATGCAAGAAAAGGTGGATATGCTGCTCAATGGAGGCCCTCACATTCAACACTATCAAAGGTCTCCTTCTCAACCACTAGGCACCTATCACCAACAGCAAGGGAACATGATACTCCCTGCTACTCCTATGCAGTCTGCCTTGGCGCCTCAAGAATAACCAAGCACTCAGCCACCTCAAGATTTGGACATCAAGCAGATGCTACTTCAAATGCAACAAATCCAAACTGCAGTAATTCAAGGAAGTATGGCTGCTGAAATTCAAAGAAGTATGGCTGAAATTCAGAGAAGCATGGCTGCTGAAATTCAAAGAAGTATTGACTCCACCATCAATAACTTCCAATCCCAAATAGACTCCTTGATTATGAAGCTGAGTAGGCAAGAGAACAATGCTCAGCCAATCACCTTCAAAAAGCGTATTGTTATGGTATCTCCTCTACTTTCCTAACTACTTAAGAGGAGAATGAAAATTCTATTGCTGAAATTGAAAACCTTTTATATAGTCATGAGTTTGTCCTTATAACTCCAAAGTTTGTCCTTATAATAATGAGGATATTGAAGCTTTAAGTTTGGAGGAGGGACTTGAAAAAATAGTAAATATCATAGGAGAGAAGGAGAAGAAAGCTATCTATGTGATTGCCTTAAGAGAAGAAAAGGTTATCTTCAAGAAAGAGACAGTAGTAAAAGATGATGAAGTGGTTGAGGTTGGTGAATGCTCAAGGAATAGCAAGGCTCGTTCATCACCAAACCCAACCCTCGTATTCCTCCTTCCGATCCATTAACTATATATGTTCATGTGTTTGGTTGAAAAAAACTGAATGACGCTCTTGGTTTTTAGGTGCATGATTTATCTATATCTGGATCAAATGCATCTAATGAAGTTTATGTTCTCTTTAAACAGCTTGTTTTAGTTCTTCTCTACATCAGCCACCTTTGCTGCTGTTCCATTGTTGTGTAATGCTTCTGAAGTAGATTTGTTCTTTGTCAATTGATGTAGCTTTGGGATTTTATCTGTTAACTATATGTTCATATGTCTTAGTGAACTGTTTGAGTTTATCCTATTGGCTATATTTGGCTACATTTGGTTGAAAATGAAGCTTTTTTAATCAGCTTGTTGTTGTAGGTTGTTATCTGTTTAACTATATGTTCATGTCAGTTATGTATATTGTATAATTCTTCTGAAGTAGATTTGTTTAAAGTAAACTGATATATGCTTTAGGAGGTTATCTGTTTAACTATATGCCCAATGTGTCTGCTAAACGGGTTAAGCTAATCCTCTTGGCGATGTGTGTATATGTTTGGCTGAGAAAACTGAAATGACGCTTTGGTTTTTTTGGTACATGATTCATCTATCTCTGGCTCAAATGTATATAATGAAGTTTATGTTCTCCTTATCAGCTTTGTTTTATGATGTTGTCGTCTCTGTTAACTATCTGTTCATGTGTTCCACTAAACTGTTTAAGCTTCTTCTTCCTTTCTTTGCAGCTTGGAATGATCATTCGGTCAACCTCATCCGGTCACATCCCATCTTACAGCTTTATGTTGGTGACAATGGGAAGTACTGCTGTTTTACTTATTGGTTGGAGAGCTCTATTGTTCAGTGTGCTTCCTTCAGAGTCCAAGAAGAAAGATGATACATATCGAAAAGGCAGCGCCTTCGAACTATTTGAGGTATGCCATATCCATTCTCTAATTCTGAAAAAGTCAACATCATCCTGTAGTTTTTTGGTCATTAGGTGTTTTGTATGTTGTTGTTATACATAGTAATACCAAAAACCAGATGTTGGAGTTTGCCTTTTTCTTACATATGTTCACCATGTCTGTTCGTATATGTTGTTTGCAGTTGTTGACTTCATTAATAAGACGGTGGTGAAGGAACCTAACATCCATGAACGTGCTTGCGTATGGAGATTTGAGATTCAATATGCACATATCAATATCATCACCACTTTTTCATTTTTGTAAGGATGACAAGTCTACTAGAGATATAAAGAAAGTACTGTTTTGAGATTACATAAGTATGGATGATACCAAAAACTTAAGTAGGAAAAATGTATAATATATAAATCAAATTCTTTAAAGGGAACTTTACAGATTGAAACCTGAGACTCATGTACTTTGATCTACATACTAAAGTAAACAGAGATGATAAACTCAGCAACGTTACTGAACCGAAACTAAATTGGAACCAGAGCGCTTCATAGGCATAATTTTCAACCTCAAGAATCTGTTCAGAGTGCTCTTCAACTGTGGAGGTTTTGATGGAAGAAACATCAGTTTCAGAGGCTTCTCCTTCTTCTCTGTAACATTCTTGGAAGCTCGTCTGATTCTCAGCTTTAACTTCAATAGAATCGAATTTCGCCTCTCTTCAGCGACAGTCTGCTCTTCTTCTTCTAGACGACGCAAGAACCGATGAAACAACAACTCACACGCACTTCCTCTTTCCTCAGGTGTGCTAGAGAAACACGTTTCAATGAAATTCCGTGCATCGCAAGGCACACAATCAGGAATCTCTGGAGCTTCACCATCAAGGAGACGAGCCTTGAGATCACTGAGTTTAACACCTTCCCATGGAACCACACCTGTGTACATCTCCAGGACTAAGCATCCCACCGACCACAGATCTAGGGTTTTCCTGGCGACGCCGTCACGGAGAGACTCCGGTGGCATGTAAATTGGAGTCCCCACGAACGGAGAATCAATTCCCCAGTAATCAGGAACTTCTCCGACGCTTAGGCAGTTTCCGAAATCAGAAATCTTCAGCTCGTACGATGAATTTCTCGACGGGAACACAAGGAGATTGTCCGATTTGAGATCGCAGTGAACATAGCCGTGATGGTGAATCGAGACCAAACCTTCGAGAATCATGCGAGTGAAGTCTCTAATCATCGCTTCAGGAAGCTCTCTGCCGGCGAAATTCTCCATGAAAGCGTTTAAACTGCCTTCAGGTGCGTACTCGAGAAGCAATTTGCGGACTGTGTTCCCGTAAGAGCTGAGACCTTGTTCCAGTTTGTCTCCAAAGCATTCGATGATTCTCTGATTTCCTCTGAGTTGGAGTAGGATCCGTAACTCTCTCTGAAGATTGTCGAAGTCGTCGTCGTCGGTGTAAGAGTTTTTTCACGGCGGCGTGAAAAGAGGAGCCGTCGGGGTTCGTGTATTTGACGAGATGGACATAGCCGTAAGAACCTTCGCCTAGAAATTTCACGAATTCTTCATTCGATTGCATCTTTGCTCTTTAGGGTTTCTTGAGATTCGAAACTGAAATCACTTTGGAAAACAAAAATTGCAGCGAGAGAGAATGGAAAAAACAGATTGTGATTTGTGATAGAGAGCGAGAAAAAGGAAACTGTAGTGTGGAGAATAGGAAAGTTTTATAGTTACAGAATTAGATCTGGACTGCTGGTGCGGAGGATTTTATTTAGATTGTGATCAGTAACTGAAAAATGGAAATTTGCAGAGAGATATGGGAAAAAGGAAACTTTTAGAGTGAGGTTAAGTCGGCTACGTTTTTTTGCATAACGTTCATTTATTTAGTAGATTTTTTGTATGTCGGATTAATCTGCCACTAGATTTTTGACTCTCCAGTTGCACAGATTTTTTTTCATAAGCCATACCAAAAATTGATTTATATTAAATTTTTGTTCAAAACAATTAGTTTATATTATTAAATTTAAAATTGTGGTCTAAACAAAAAAATTTTATTAGATTATATAAACTATTTTTATATTAAGATTTTATGTTCTTAAAATTATTTAGGCTTGATTTTAAAAGAAAAAATATTTTGATTAGCAAATTTCCAGTTAAATTTTATAACAAATATTTTTAAAATATTATGTTTTATAATGTAAGAAAGATTTTATTTGTTTGTAATTAAGATTTCAGTATTTACTAAGATTTTGTTTGTTTTTGCGTGTAAATGTTCAAATATTTTTCTTTTAAATATCTGTAGATACAAATTTATAATATTTCAAAATTTGAATATTTAAGATGCTAAAAAAAAGTAAAGTTTGAATGCAGCATTTGAATCTCAAAAATTAAAAGACCAAAACACCTTTTAATTTAAACCCTAAAATCAAATTTTTTCTTTGTCAAAACCATAAAATCAGAGTTTTCCAATCGAAATAAAAAACCTCATTTTCCCGTAAAATACTAAAATCATGTTGTTGTACCAAAATCAGGAATTCCCATAGAAACTGTAAAAATAGCATTTTCCTTCAAACATTATTTTCGTGCTGAAACTGTAAACCCACATTTTTTTAACAAAATCAAAAATTACTAAAATCATGTTGTTGTACCAAAATCAGGAATTCCTCTAGAAACTGTAAAAATAGCATTTTCCATCAAATCGTATTTTCCTTCTATAACTGTAAACCCACAATTTTTAACAAACCAAAATTTATGTTTTCCCAACACCATAAAACCGTTTCTAATAGCCAAATTTCTAAAATTACTGTTTTTGTCAAACTTGCAAAATTGCGTTTCTCATCTCTCCCACAAGCAAGATTCAGAAATGAGATCACAAACTTCAAACAGTGGTCTAATGAGAGCTTTGGAGACACTTGGAAAAGGTTTAGAGGCTTCACTCATCAATGCCCTCATCATGGCTTCACCAAAGAAAAGTTTCTATCCACACTCTATAGAGGTGTTCTCCCAAATATAAGAATACTTCTAGATACAGCAAGCAATGACTATTTCCTTGGCAAAGATGTTGATGAAGGTTGGATATTGGTGGAGAACATGACACTAAGCAATTGGGATTATGTGGATGAGTTTGAGCAGTATGCAAAGACAGCTGAAGAGAGGTTTGAAACAACAAGACATGTGATAAAAAGCTATGCAAGAAAAGGTGGATATGCTGCTCAATGGAGGCCCTCACATTCAACGCCATCAAAGGTCTCCTTCTCAACCACTAGGCACCTATCACCAACAGCAAGGGAACATGATACTCCCTGCTACTCCTATGCAGCCTGCCTTGGCGCCTCAAGAACAACCAAGCACTCAGCCACCTCAAGAGTTGGACATCAAGCAGATGCTACTTCAGATGCAACAAGTCCAAACTGCAGAAATTCAATGGAGCATGGCTGCTGAAATTCAAAGAAGTATGGCTGAAATTCAGAGAAGCATGGCTGCTGAAATTCAAAGAAGTATTGACTCCACCATCAACAACTTCCAATCCCAAATAGACTCCTTGACTATGAAGCTGAGTAGGCAAGAGAACAATGCTCAGCCAATCACCTTCAAGAAGCCTTTAGAGTATTGTTATGGTATTTCCTCTACTTCCCTAACTACTCAAGAGAAGAATGAAAACTCTATTGCTGAGATTGAATGCCTTCTGTATGGCCATGAGTTTGTCCCTATAACTCCAAAGGTGACACCCTCTATCATCAATGCTGACATTGAAGCTCTAAGTGTGGGGGAGGGACTTGAAAAAACAGTAAAGGCCATAGGAGAGAAGGAGAAGGAAGCTGTCTATGTGGCTGCCTCAAGGAAAGAAAAGGTTATCTCCAAGAAAGAGACAGTAGTAGAAGATGATGAAGTGGTTGAGGTTGGTGAATGCTCAAGGAATAGCAAGGCCAAGAAAGTGATTCAAGAGAAGCATAAAGAGGTACCCAAGGAGACAAGCAAGGAACCAATATACATTCCTCCTTCTTATCAGCCTACAATACCATTCCTCGAAGCAAGCAGAGATGAAGAACCAAAAGATATTCCTAACAGGTTTAGCGATTCTACAAACTCTTCATCATCATTTGAAAAGTCCTAACTTAACTAGCAGATTACTCAGACATGATCATGAAAACACAAAGCATAGCTGAATAAAATTGCATTAAAGAGATAGAGTAAAAGTTGAAGGGGTTCGAAATCTTCTCAAAAGAGTACAGGATCTGTCTCCCTAAACAGCTCTGAATAAATCTCTCTCTAAAGCTCTCTGAATTCTAAAATCTAAGCTAAAAGCCAACAATGGCTGAAAACCTAATATATACAAGCTAAAACACGAGCTGTAACACTTTTGCAAATACCAGAACTTCTGGGCTAAAACTGCAATTTCTTCTCAATCTTTTAACAATAGTCGCGACTCCTTCCCAGATACAGGTGACGAGCGTCACCCTTGAGTGGTGAAGATCGTCACCAACACCAATATCCGCCTTCTGAGTTGCACACTTCGTGGTTGTATCTTGCAATGCTCCAAAAAGCTCCATAATCTTTAATTGTGCCTCAGACATGCTATAACCTGCAAAAATTCTACTAGGACTCTAAAAAGACCAAAAAGACTCAATAAAAAGGATTTATATCATGGTTAAAAACCATAAAAACCATGATATATCACAACTTTATTGATATTGCTTGGATTAAGAACCTTTATGCATTCTTAGTGTTCATAACAACCCCCATTTGGATTGACATCTCAAATATTACAATGACATAAGTAGTAGAGATTAATTGTTAGTGAAAAATCCTACTAACTTGCGCCCTAATCCTTCATTGTTTTGGATACATGGCTGTCTCACGACACTGTGTAGCTCTGAATGTTGGACGACCTTCCTATATAAGCCATATTGGAAGCTTTCCCGAGGAGATTCTTCATGTGCCTTGTAATGCATCCGACTTACTCCTGGTCGAAGGATGCAGTTTTGGAGCTCCACATTGTCTTTGGTCCAGGCATGTTACTGTTGTTTTTGTTAAGTCGAGCGTTAGTCTTCTTCCCTGCTTCTAGCGCCAATTGTTGGGGGGTATTTTGCATGATGTAAGGGGGGTGGGGGGAGGATGTTCTTCAGGTCGTTTAAATTTTTATCCTAGATTCATTTTCTGGAGGGATGAATAGTGCTCAGGGCGGAATCGTGTCGGGACGCATTGTCGGCCCCATCCGCTTCCCTCCCGACAACTTTAAGCACTTTTTGACTCTCTTTTCAAAGTCCTTTTCATCTTTACCTCGCGGTACTTGTTCGCTATCGGTCTCTCGCCCATATTTAGCCTTGGACGGAATTTACCACCCGATTGGGGCTGCATTCCCAAACAACCCGACTCGTAGACAGTGCGAGAGGGGCCAGACAAGACGGGGCTCTCACCCTCTCTGGCGTCCCTTTCCAAGGAACTTAGGCCCGGTCCACCGCTAAAAACACTTGTCCAGACTACAATTCGAATGCTTGCCATTACTAAAGGAATCCTAGTTAGTTTCTTTTTCTCTGCTTATTGATATGCTTAAACTCAGTGGAATCGTGTCGGGTCCTCAAGACATGGAATTATCAACAAACTGCCAGGCGGCCTTTTGGGAGGGATATAGACGTATATAACTGTGAATGATATTCGGGAAGGTGAATCTGAGTGGATTCAAGTGAAGTTGCACGGTCGAAGATCATGAAACTTGTCTGCTCTTTTAGTGATAGATAGGTTAACCACGATTTGGCGTGAGAGGGGGTGGAAAAGCGCTCACGGCAAGTCAACAGTCATAGAAGAATACTAGGATTTAGTCCGCTCTACGTGCGGGGTAATTGATTATATATATATTTAATTTAAATTATATTATGAAGTTTAGTTTTGTAGATATATATTTTTAATATATTGGCTGAGTTTGTTTGTTGTCTGGTTTTATTGTTTGTTGAAGTAAAAAGTGTTGTTATTTGTGAATAGTATTTTGTTTTCTTTACGTGTGATATGTATTGTAAGTTTGTAGTTATTATTGGATCCTTTGTCGATTATATTTTGTTATAGTTAAGATTTAGACTTAGACTTCGATAGATTTTTAAAATGTATGTGAATTATTTTTCTGAATTTTATTATATAAAATAAAATATTCGATTAAAAACATTTGTTAGTTGTTATATTAAATTAAATAAGACTCTTTAAAATTATATATTAGATGAATATATGAACATTCTTATTTTTTGTGTTTTACCATTATATTGTGGTGAAATTAAGAAATATGGAAAACTTATATTTTGATTTCCTATAAAAATACTTTTATGATAGATACATATATGAAAATTACTTAAAATGTTAAAAAAAAAATTTACCTTTATCGAAACCTATAAGTTATATTATGCGTATACATATATTTAATTATTTTTATCTACCATTGCAACTGGTTATGATTTTTATATTACATATGATTTTCTATGAATTATTAATATGTTATTTTTAAAAAATATTAAACAGAAAAAATATCAGTGTTGATGTTGAAATTATGTAAAAAAATTAAACCAATAATTTGAATTGTTAACTGAATAAAAA